ATTCCTGCCAACCACTCCTCATGTGGACTCTCTGACCAGGCCATTTGCTTTCAGGAGCAAATTAAGTCGATCCGATCTTGTGTCAAAGCCTGAACGGGGTTTCAAAACCATTCTTGCGCCTGAAACTTCTGGGAACCAAATCTGGGCTTAAGACTTGACACGGGATTTTAACATTATTCCTTCTGGGGGTTTGTACACTGGTGTAAGCCAACATTCAGAATGTCGTGTGTAACACGTTACAAAGTCCAGGGCTTTACTTTTAACTCTTTAACTAAAGAGGTAAAGCTTTAACTAAAGCTTTGAAGTTTTAAGGGACAAAAAATTCTTTTAAGTGTTAAGGGTGTCAGAAGAATTCTGAATGTGTCATGAATGATAAATCCCTAGAGTTGGAAAGAACCTTAGAGGCAATTGGTGAAGGCCAATCTCCCTCCCTCTACAAAATCCTATATAATAAAAGCCTAATATGCTAAGTGTCCAGTCGTCCATTCAACCAAAGTGTAATATGCTAATGATATGCTAAGGCCGCTCAACTGCTCGCTATGACCTGCACTGACCACCAGGGGGCAGATAGTCGATCAGTTGACCAGACGCTATGACGTGCATTGACCACCAGGGGGCAGATGCTTCTTCTGGTAAGTTAGCTTGCTGCTGGGGTCCGGCTGATTGGGACTGAGTGAGATGGGATGGACATGCCCTGGAGCCCTCCCGTGGTCCCTCTCTGGCTGGCCAACCTCACGCATCCCTCCCCAACCCTGATTGTGCACCAGTGGGGTCTCTAGGCCTGGCTTGCGCCCTCTCGCAATCCAGGACCCCTTGGGGGTGTCTGAGAGCCAGTTTCAGCCCAATCCTGCAGGCCAGGCCGAGGGACCCCAACTGGTGCACGAATTTGTGCACCGGGCCTCTAGTGTTCCTGTAACACCCTTGAATGGGGCTTGTGAAGCCTCCGCTCGAACAATCCTGTTTTCTAAATGAGTGTAAAGCAATGCTGGCCGCTCTAGCCATCAAAAGACAGCCTGGTGCCCTGACCCGTTTGGCTCAGTGGATAGAGCGTCGGCTTGCGGACTGAAGGGTCCCGGGTTCGATTCTGGTCAAGGCCATGTACCTCGGTTGCGGGCACATCCCCAGTAGGGGGTGTGCAGGAGGCAGCTGATCGATGTTTCTCTCTCATCAATGTTTCTAACTATCCCTCTCCCTTCCTCTCTGTAAAAAATCAGTAAAATATATTAAAAAAAAAAAAAAAAAGACAGCCTGGTGCCCGGTTCAGTGGCTCACGCAGGACCCATCAACCAGGAGGTCATGGTTCAATTCCCCATCGGGGCACATGCTGGGGTTTCAGGCTCGATCCCCAGTAGGGGGCATGCAGGAGGCAGCCAATCCATGATTCTCTCTCATCATTGATGTTGCTATTTCTCTCTCCTTCTCCCTTCCTCTCTGAAATCAACAAAAACATACTTTAAAAAAAAAGAATTATTAGAGCATTCAAAATAAAAAGATAGCCTGGTGTAATAAAAGTTGTCGCGCCGGTTAAATGTATTTTATCACAATGAAAAAAAAAAAAACCGGCCCTGGCTGGTTTGGCTCAGTGTATAGAGTGACGGCCTATGGACTGAAGGGTCCTGGATTCGATTCCAGTCAAGGGCACATGCCCGGGTTGCAGGCTCTGTCCCCAGTAGGGGGCGTGCAGGAGGCAGCCGATCCATGATTCTCTCTCATCATTGATGTTTCTATCTCTCTCTCCCTCTCCCTTCTTCTCTAAAATCAATAAGAATATATTTTTTTAAAAATGAAGCAAAAAAAAGTTGTTACACTGCAAGAAATAAAACATAATTTAGTCCCTGCTTTGCTATCTCGTCTCTTCGGGGAGTTGGACTCGATCACCCCTTGTAGCTCTACCATTCATTCTATGCTTCTAAAATTCTTTCTTTTTTAACTTAAATTTGAATTTAAAGAATATATTTTATTGATTTTTCACAGAGGAAAGGAAAGGGATAGAGAGTTAGAAACATCAATCAGCTGTCTCCTGCACATCTCCTACTGGGGATGTGCCCGCAACCCAGGTACATGCCCTTGACCGGAATCGAACCCGGGACCCTTCAGTCCGCAGGCCGACTCTCTATCCCCTGAGCCAAACCGGCCAGGGCAAATTTGTATTTTTTTTTTTTGCTCTGTATAGGGGACCCCAAACTATGGAACTAACCGCCCAGATCAAGCCAGTTCCGGGAAAGTAAATAAACACCAAGACAGGTGTTTAACCAAACGTCTCCTGAGTGTGTGGAGGAGGCGAATAAGGGACTCGGAATCCCATCAGGCAGCTGGTCTGCGCCCCCCGCCAACGGGGTCTTACCCAGCCCCCCGAGAAAGTGCCAGCGCCCGGCCTCCTGCCAGAATCTCACCACCTTTGCTCTGCACCCAGGGGGCCGGCCCTTGCACTCCACACTCTGTGCAGGGGACGCCAGACTCACCCTTCCCTCCCCTTCGCTCCCCACGCGTCACAAAGTCCAGGAAGCTCTATCCTGGCACCTGCCATCCCTCCCAGGCTGCACCCCAGCACCTGGCCCCGGTGGAACCCGGGAAAGAAGGGGCTGCCTTCTCGCCAGGGGCTCCCCGACCCCGGCCAGGGCGGGGCTCAGGGGTTGAAAGGGGGCTCAGGGGTTGAAGGTCGACCTAGGAACCAGGAGGTCAGGGTTCGATTCCCGCTCAGGGCTCATGCCCGGGTTGTGGGCTCGATCCCCAGTGCGGGGCGTGCAGGAGGCGGCCGATCCATGATTCTCTCTCATCATGGATGTTCCTCTCTCTCTCTCCCTCTCCCTTCCCGTCTGAAATCCATAAAAATATATTTAAAAATATAAATAAATTAAATTAAAAAACCCAGAGGCTCCCCGGCCTTGACCCCAAAGGGGGTCGGGTTTTTCCAGGACAGCGATGCACACTCACTGCTGGGCGCTCCGAGGGGCTCCCGCTGGGCAGGGTGGGGCGTCGAGGGGGGTGCGCAGCGGGTTGCAGGGGGCACCCGGGTCCAGCGACCCCACTCTCGTGGGGTGTCCGCGCTCCAGCTCTGGGGTCAGGGAGGAGGGGGCAGCGGTCATGCACCGGCGGCCTCTGAGCCCGAGGCACCGACCCTCCCAGCCCGCGGGGAGCCTTTCTGCGCTCGGGGCGGCCCCCCTACCCCGGCCGCTCCCCCGCCCGCCCGCTCACCGTGCACGACCCGCGGTCCGAGGCGGCGTCCGCTGTCCAGCAGCCCGGCCTGAGGGCGGAGGGTCGCGCTGCGAGGTCTCGCGCGGTCAGGTCTCGCGTGGCAGCGACTGACCTGCAGCACCTCGGCCCGCCCCCGCTCCGAGCCCGCGACCCCTGACTTCTGATTGGCTCCTTGAGAGAACCCCGCCGCCAATCAGCGCAGACGAAGGGAAGGCGAGGCCCCGCCCCGCGCTATCTAGAATATTCAGGATGAGATTAGGCTTCTGATTAGCTCTCTGCAATCTGACCCCGCCTCCTCTCGGTGCTCACGTCAGTCAAAATCTGGATGCCTCTTCGCGTAACTGGGATCCTTGTTTCTGATTGGCTCTTCTGTATCCTGCCCCGCCCCCCGGCGAGCAGCTCTGAGCTGGCTGCTTCCGGCTATGGAGTTGCACTGCCCCGTGTGCACAGTCCCGGTAGGAGGTTTTCAAGGACCGTTTTTTCTAGGGATCGTCGGTGTCTGGGCGCGACTCGCACCCTTTCTCCTTCCTCCCCTTCCTGCGGGCAGCACGCACCCCGCAGGCCGCCTTCGGACCCGCGTCCCCGGAGCTGCAGGTCCGATGGGAGGTCCCGGCGGTCGGGCTGGCTGCGTTCTGCACAGACCCAGCTCCCAGGATCGCGGGTGGCGCAATCCTGGTAGGTGTGCACACTCCGGGTGCCGATGGGGAGCTGCAGGGGGCGCGGGGCCTCGGCCAGTCACACAGCACCCCGTTTCCTGCTTTCTTCCCACGCCACTGACTTCATTATAACGGATGGGAAGGAGGCGGGGAGGGTTCCCAGGGGGCGGGTCAGTAGTTGGGTCAGAAGCTGTAGGATCGTCGGGTTCTCTCCCCGCGGGAAAGTGCGGGAACACGTGATTTTCAGGAGGCTGCGCGAATAGTTGGTAACCCTCGTTGTCCAGGGCAACCAGGCTCTGATGGACAGCTGGGTGCACTCCTGCAGCCCACACAGGGCTTCCGAGGGGGGGATCTCGCCACCCGCCCACGCAGGCAGCTGGAGCCTTGTTTTTTGTGAATGCACAGCCCCCACCCCTCATGCTTTTATTCTTTTTTTCCATCAGCGTGTAGCGCCCTCGGTTATCTGCCGCCCCCGTGATTGCCTCGGATGTGCCCCAAACCTCTGCTGAGGGCTGGCCTTTCCCGTTAGATTTGGTTCTTATCTCCAAGTAGCAGCTTCCCACAGCCCCAGTCTCAACACATCTCATCCCTTTAGGCTGCGAAACACCAGCTTTGATTCGGTTTTCTGTGGCCAGAATCTGACTCCTGTTTGGCCTCATTAGGGCACCTGCATACCTGTCCCTCAGGCAGCTCATGAGTTCTCCCCCCTCACTATGTTCATTTTGTCCTATTCTTTTAAAAAATATATATTTTATTTATTTTTTTACAGAGAGGAAGGGAGAGGGATAGAGAGTTAGAAACATCCATGAGGGAGAAACATCGATCAGCTGCCACCTGCACGCCCCCTACTGGGGATGTGCCCGAAACCAAGGTACATGCCCTTGACCAAAATCAAACCTGGGACCCTTCAGTCCGCAGGCCGACACTCTAGCCACTGAGCCAAACTGGTCAGGGCCCTATTCTTTTTTAAAGTATATTTTTATTGATTTCAAAGAGGAAGGGAGAGAGAAACATCAATGATGAGAATCATCGATCAGCTGCCTCCTGCACGCCCCACTGTTTGAAGAGAAAATTCTAGATGCCACCCTATTTCTCTTTGTTAGGTGTTTTGTTTTCAATCACCACAAAATATTTTATTAGAAGAGTCAAACAGGTGATAATACAATTTTCTTTATTAAAAATAATTTACAGCATCAATAACATATACACAATTGTCATCAACTGAACTTTGCCTCCAATATATTTCTATACAATACTTAACATCATTGAACTTACAACTGCTACACTGTGTTGTTGGCTTAAGTGATTGACAATTGGTAGTTGCTGAAGGAGATAATGTGTTCACGGTCAGGTGCGTGTGAACTGATGGGACATCGGCACTGTCACACTCTAGGAGGAGGCCCCCGAGGAAGCCCAAGTCCACCCCCCCCTCCCTCTGCGTTCCCCCAGCACCCAGCATCTTAGTACCGTCTCCTCAACCCAAAGGCAGGAGAAAGGTGCCTCTTAATTCAACCGCAGAAAAACGCCAGTCAGCTCATTCCTCCCCGCGCAGGCGACGCACACGGTGACCGTGGAGGCAATGGCCACGGCCCTGACCAGGCCCGAGCTGTACTTTCCCCTTCAGAGCCACTGGAGTGTGACCACCACTACAGGGGTCCTGACACTTCCCTCAGGTGCCACCTGGACATCTGGAGACAAAACAGGAAATGTGACAGCCGTCGGCCTGGGAACCTTCGGCGTAACCATGGCAGCGCAGTGGCTGGATGCCATTCTCACTGATTCACTTTACAGGAGTAACACAACCCAAAGGCATGGAATATGGCAACGCTGTGCAGCATCATGTGCTTTAACTACAGCACTCACTTCCTTCTCTTATGTAACCATGTGTCCTTTCCACAATATTTTTTTAACACGTCATTGCCCAGACAGAGTTAACAAAGGAGGAAGTCAAACAAAAACCAGCAGAGGCCGCGTTTCTGCAAACAGTGTTTGGCTGGAGGCAGTTGTAAGGGACACACTGGGACATACAGCGGTTTCCTCCCCGACCGATAACCACGCTCATCCAGCTTTTTGGTTCATTGTATAGAAGCGAGAGATTAAGAGGCCCTCGATTCTGTTCCTGAAAGACGAGGTTTGCTTGTACTATTACTCGGCGAGGCAGATGGGAATTTCAGTGCCGAATTCCTAGCTTGCTTTATGGTCTTCATCTCCTGGGCCAGATGTTTATGCCAACACCCAGGCCTCTGCCACAGGCGATACATTATAACACCCTTAAAGCTGATACTGACGCCCGCCCCAGCCCAATCCGGAATTACCATTTCTTCAAATCCTATCACAGGCATTTCAACATTCAACTGGGAATTTCTCCATCCCTAACTCATATTTTCATGTAAATTAGGAACACACATGCATGGACAAATACACAGAATAAAATAATCAAGAACACCATTGGATCTGCAAGTACCAGGTAACATTTTTAAATAAAGGGAATTGTCAAGCTCCAGCCCGTCTAACTGTCTGAGCGCGTGTCTGCAGGACGGTGAAGAGACGGCCTGACTGTGTGCAAAGGCCTCCGTGGTCTTCACCCATCTGAGAGTCAGGAACCCTTTTCTGTGCCGTGTGAACTGACGCTCAAGTGCAGCAACCGAATCAGGTCACTGAAGACCGTATGTGAGAGAATTTGCCATGTAAGTTAATTTCTTGATTTAAAAAGGGGAGTAGGACTTTCTGAAATTCATTATCCAAACTTTTTCTTAAAAGCTGCCCCGCTTCTTGGAGACAGCACTCGAGGTGGGAGCAGGGAGCAGACGCATCCGGAGAGAACTCAGTGTTCTGGCCTGAGGGTCAGCTTTGGTTACAACAGAAACAGTGACACCACCCACAGATCATCCAAACCAAGTAAAACACGGATTCAAATGACAGGAAATCAACCAAAGTCATTCAGAAACAGCCAACACTGACAATGCCTCGGGCTGAGCACCCACATTCTGGTTGGCGGCCCCTCACCAGCAGGTGCCCGGGGGGGAGGGGGGGGTGACAGCACCACGTCAGGTGAGCAAACCCCTCACCCCCCTCAGACGGGCCGCCCCGTCCTCCCAGAGGCTCGGCCGCGAGTGCCTGACGTCAGGGCTGCACACGACCCCTCGTCGCTGTCACGTGGCGAGGCCGCGCTCAGTGTGTCCCGTCCCGTCCAGCCTCGCGGGGGAGGGCCGTGCGGAGCTGGACAGGGGCCGTGCGGGCAGGTCCTCCCCTTGCAGGCGGCGTGAGGCCGAGGAGGACTCGTCCACCTGGAGTCCGTCAGATCCCAGCTCCCACCCGAGTGTCATCGGGCGTCTGACGTGTCGCTCTCCTGCCCTCACACCAGCAGCAGCGCGCGCAGTCCTAACGATGCAAACTGCACAGCCCACTCAGGAAGCGCCGCACAGGACCATCTCCAGCACCAGCCAGGTCCCGCCTTTATTTACAACCGGTGACAGGCCTCACACTCACCGCTCGTCCACCACACGCTTCACGCTGACAGCAATGTTAATAGCACCATTCGTATCGTATTAAAATCAGGAAGGTTTCGTTCTGCCGCTACGTGATTGGAGCCCACCTCCCCCGCGGTGAGACAGGGAGCGTCGGGTCTGCAGCGCCACGGCGGGTCCCGGTCCGGCACCAGGGGCGTGGCTCGCAGTGACCAGTTTGGAAAGGGGTCCACGGGGAGTGGGTACTATGAGAATTTTCGTGCCACAAAGTTTAACAATCCTCCGTGTTTGTACAAGGTGATTTCCACGTCGTTTTCAAACGAAGCGATCACGCGAAATGCTTTTCCAGTGCTTGTCTGCAAACAAACAGAAACGTCGCATGAGTGTCCCTGAGTGGCCACAACCGCTGTCCTATGCAAGGACTGCTCCCCCACACTTCCGTCCACCCCGGGCCTCGCAGCTAAGGAGACCTTGTCATCCCTGATTCTGAAGGGTCACATGATCTCATCTAGAATGTGACTTGCCGACCAGGAAAGCTGCACCCGCTACTCACGTCCATTTACATCAAACATCATCGCATCAAACATCATCGCACAGAACACCTGTCCCCCTTCTCTTTTCCTTAAAGCCTGTGGCCCTAACCTGACGTTCAGAGCGGCTCCTGGGCCGATGAACGTGAGGTCGGGACAGAGCTGAGCGCAGGAAAGGCGGCCGGCACGTGCGCACGCCCTTCCTCCTGGGCCGCGTGCCCTGCTGCCCGCCTTCCCTCGGAGATCTCACCCCTGCAAGGCCGCACGGCCACCTGCCCGGCTCACGGTCCCACCCGACGTCAGAGCAAGCCCCAGTGACCGCGGGGCCTCACGCGCAGGGTCTCCCTGCACACACGGCGCAGGCCGTGCGTCCGGGCTGAGGGATACCTTCATGGTGAGCGTGACGCCGGGGGACAGCTCTTCAGGAAAGGCCAGGGAGAAGGTCTCCCGGCCGGTCAGGCCCAGGGTCTCGGCGTTCTCCCCGGGGAGGAACTGCAGGGGGGCGATGCCGATGCCGATCAGGTGGTCCTTGTGGATTTTCTCGTAACTTTCCGCCAGCACAGCTCGCACGCCCTGCAACACACGCGCGCTTACTTCCTTCCCTGCACATTTTACAGGAGAAAACCTCCCGCTTTGGGCCTTTCTGTGAAACCGTCAGCTCCCCGTCCACACTGAGGGCGATGCACCCGAGCATCAGAGCCTTTCACAGGCTGTCTGTGCCCTGCCCCTCCCGGGCGGGGCCTGCACACGGCGCGAGCTCTGTGACGGGCGGGGGGGCCTGGCCCAGGGGCTTCTGTCTGTCTGTCTGTCTGTCTGTCTGTCCCTGGAGGCTCTCACATGTGCTTGCACTCCCTCCGGAGATGCCACTACGATCCGGGAACAGAAGGGAGCAGCGGAGTGAGCTCTATGCCACGCAGGGGAGGACGCAGGTACCGGCCTGAGCAGACAACGCTGAGAGCAGTGATAAACCACAACGACAGGGGGACCAGGAAGGCCCGATCCACCCACAGACAACAAGGCACGGGCACAGGCGGGGGCTCGGGCCGAGGCTCCGGCCCGGTGCTGTCCGAGTCGGAGCAGCAGGAAGCTGTGCGGCCAGTCTGCTCCCGAAGAGGAGGGGGTTCTCTCTGGAGAAAGCGGGCGGAGCAGCTCCAGCCCCGGCTTCTCCGCTTTTACAATCACTGCCCCTCAGGGGCCTTTTCACACCTCCCCCCATCACACCTTCCTCACTGTCACCCCCAGGAGTTCACCACCACAGACACACGGTGCATGTCTGTGTGCAGACCTGGGCCTGCACCGGTTTAACCCCGAGAACGGGTGTGCGCCCCCTGGAGGGCACCACCCTGTCCGGGGGTCTGAGATGAGGACCCGGCCCAGGGCAGGCGGGAGGCCCCTCTGGAGTGAGGGCGATGCTGAGCCGTGTCCCGAAGGGTCTCCATCCCTGAAGACACTCAACGGCTCAGAGAAACATGAGCTTCTGCCACCCCCATCGTCACCCAGCCCAGCCCAGCCGTGCCGTCTGCGTGTTAGTGGCCAACTGAACCGACAGTCAGGACCGCCTGCGACAGGAGGAAGGCCCAGAACGTAAATCAAAGACTAAGACAATTTCAGAAGAAAGGCAGGCTGCACCGATCATTAGTATTCACGTCCTTGTAAAACCTCAGAAAGAGAAGCTGCATGCGCCCCCATTCAGGGCGTTAGGACTGAGAAGACCGAAGCCTCACGCACACGAGGGCGAGAGGGGTGTGACCCGCCTCCCACCACACCTGCAGGGACCCGCTCGCGCCTGACGACTGAGCTGGCGGGGGACACACGTCACGCAAGCCACGGGACTGTGCCCGCCCGCCGTCCGCCGCTGCCCCCCGAGGAGCAGCCTCCGGAGACGGAGCCCCAGGCACCGTCAGCGCCTCGTGGGGAAACAGTAAAACGGGGCCCACAGCTCCGAGCGTTCACCTCCAGGGAGCAAATCCGAGAAAAGGAAGTGAAAAGGGAGCCCAGTGGGGACACGATTACCGATTTCCTCAAATGAGAAAAGGTGATGTAGGCTCAGACTCAGGATATCAATGCAACCAGCTTACAGAAGAGCACTTCAAAACCCCACACGTATAAGATCAGGACAGGCCAGAAAGTCCAAACGAGTAAGAGGAACCTGACAGGACGCTGCGGGCAAACAGTGAGACCTGAGGCTTAAGGGGTAAAAGTGAAGACTCGGTACCAGCAGATACGGCCCCTTGGCCGCCCAGTCCCTGGAGCTCCCGGAGCCGTACTTCTTTCCCGCCAAGATGATGAGTGGGATGCCTTCCTTCTGGTACAGCTCTGCGGCCTCAAACACATCCAGCTGCGGAGAAAACAACAAAGACCCTTCACACGAGGCCTGATTCCGGCAGCGCCGGTCTCAACGCTTCGCACGCATCCTCACCGTCTGTCCCGACGGGAAATGAATGGTTTTGGGAGCCGGTTTTCCAATAAACTTATTCAAAAGCTTGATGTTTGCAAAAGTGCCTCTTGTCATCACAGCATCGTTGCCTCTCCGGGCTCCGTAGGAGTTGAATTCCCGAGGGGTAAGGCTGCAAGAAAGCCACGCATCGGAAAACTTACTCGAAAGCACTTTATTACAGAAAATTTCCAGCATCTATGAAAGCAGGGAAACGGGAACAGCGAATGCCCACGGAACTCGGCGTATCTGAACTGTACACATTTCAGGTCCTTTCTCTAGGAGATATGGGCCCTTAAAAAGATCAATAACAAAATAGAAAAAAAAAAAAAGACAACAAAAGCAGCCACAATTTCTTACTATCGTGTAGCCAGTTAACACTCTATGGCCCCGGACTGTCTCCAGGCCTTTCTGATGGTTTGTTCAAATCAGGGCCCACATATGGCTCATAAATTCATCCCGTTCATCACACTCCCTTAACGTCTCTCTGCCCCTGGAACTTCAGGGCAGGTTTCCTGCATCCAGGCTGTGCCGACCGCCTCTCTATGCTGTCATCTCACACGTCTCCGCCCCCGTATCCTCATACCCGACGTGGGGTCCCGTGGCGGGATCAGACCTGTCTTGCCCCGGTTGGTGTGGCTCAGGGGGCTGCAGTGGTGCCCCACACGCAGAGAGGTGGCGGGTTCGATTCTCGGTCAGGGCACAGACCCAGGCCGCGGGTTCGAGCTCCGGCTGGGCGTATACGCGTGGCAACCAACCAATGTTTCTCTCTCCCATCAGTTTCTCCCTTCCTCTCTCTAGAATCAATGAAAAACTTACCCTTGAGTGAGGATTAAAAACACACCTGGCTTTTGATTTGCTACAAGCCCAGCACAGCCCAGGAACGGGCACTCGCTCTACAGCCCACCCAGCACACGGACAGTCTGCGCTCCCACGCAGGAGGGTGGCCAGAGCCAACCACCAGCCTTCATGTGGGAGGGCAGACCAAGCTCAACCCACTGAGCAACACCGGCCAGGGCCACGCTGACCTTCCAACAAAGCAGCACCGGGGAAAAATCTCATTTCCGATCGGTTTCTCACGTATTTAAATCCATTTCCACCTCTAAAGCTCGCAGCAAAGGCAGGTGCGAGAGGCCCGTTATGGCGTGCCCTGCCCCGCACCGGGCGCCGGGCAGCGTGTGCTCCCTGCAGACACGCCAGGAAGGAGTGACGGCGGCGGCACCCACCCTCTGTTCGTCAGGTACTTGGCGGCGGCACTGCTGCGGGAGATGCTCCCCGCGGGGGAGATGTGGTCGGTGGTGACGGCGTCCCCCAGGTGCAGCAGGACGTGCGCGTGCTCGATGGGCTGCGGGGCGGCCGGCTCTTTGGTCTGAAGGTGAAGGAAGGGGAAGGCGCTGAACTCCAGGGGGTGTTCCTTCACCGCCACCCCTCAGAGAGGAAAAATACAACCGTACTTACCAGCTTGTCGAAAAACGAGGGACACCTGATGTACGTGGACTTGGAGTCCCACGGAAACAGGACGGAGTCTGGTGCGTCCACATTAAAGTCACTGAAGGCTGGTTACAAGTCCTACTCCCATCAAGGGAAAACCACCTCAAGGTGCCATT